AAATTCATCATAGGTCGATGATTGAGTTAATTATTGACTATTAACGTGATGAAGTCCCGATATTACTCACTATGCATTCTTAGTAATTAACATATTATTTTTTAACATGTATTCATGTGCTAGTAATGATTAAGGATTTAAGGATGCGAGATAATTTAGGCCATTGTGATGTTGTGATAGTTACTTATGTAACGATATCTGAATTGTTAACCCTCGTCTATAAATTTTGAAACTTAATATGTTTTTTGTTAAACTTAAAAGACGTTTGGGATCATTTTCTGCAAATGCAGTTCAATTAATTTAAAATTATGATTTAAATGGATTTTAAACTTTAAAACCAAATGAGAGCTGTTTTAATATATGATATTGCTTTGTGTGCAATGTGTCTACTACACATGTTGTGTATGCATTTCATAAAACTTATTTTGAAAATATTTTTACTCACTTGAGAAGCTTTGTTGGTTTGAAAATGGTTTGGCATCCTTATGTGCATACATGTAAGACGGGAGAGCTTATGATTCATTCATGATATTCATGTCAGATTTGACATTATTTGAAGTGATTAGATTTCTAGATAATCATCATAATGCACAAGCGATGCTCACTGCTCCTCGTGTGGTGCTTTTGTGATGGTTCACAAAACACATTGAAAATTTTGAATGTACATTGAAAGTGTGTAAGGTGTTATGTGGTAATTACACATGAGTCCTAATTTTCGAGCGTACATTAAAAGTGAATCGTGTTGCTTGAAATCAATACATGAGCTCTAAATAACCATTTATGCAAGATTGAATTATATGAGGTTAACTTGGGACAGATCTATATTGCATTATTAATTGTCGATTGAGTTATCCTATTTTAATGTGTTGATATATTTGAAAATGGATGATATATTGTTGGCTTATTAAATTATATTGGAACTTTGATTTGGATTATGAATTACTAAAGCCCTTGGTTTTGAATTGCGGGCTTATACACCCTTTGACTTTGGATATGAGTTCATATTCTATTTGAATTTGAATATACGTGTATATACCCCTTTGATTTGTATCATTGGTTAATATACCATTTGACTTTGGATTAGGGTTCATACAACCCTAGACTTTGAATACAAGTTTATACACTCCTTTGATTTAGATTGTTGGTTATTATACCCTTGAATTTGGTTTATGGGTTATCCGACCCTTTTAACTTTGAATTTGGTTTTATAGTTGCCTTAATTTGAGATTATTGAACCTTTGAGAATTTTGTTGATTTTGTAGGATTGGGTCGAGTGTAATGATTTTCAGCATTACTTGCTATAAATTACTCAACCTCAGTGAGAAAGTATTCTCACTGGGCATTGCATTGCCTAACTATATTGTAACGTCCATCTTTTCACACCAGGTACACCCGATAAACAACCTTTTTATAAAAAATAACTTTTTAAACATTTTGGTGTACACTGGAACACTAGAGCACAAAAAGCTATCACCAGGGATTGTACTGGCCATAAATACAAGATCTGAGTCGGGCGCTACCACATCTAACCTGCAAAACAACCACAAACAAGAATTGTAAGCCACACCGCTTAGTGAATAACAACTACAATAACATGAATCACATAACCACGTAAATATCACATTCATATATCAAACAAATTATCCACAGTTATAATCACGAATCACCCTAAAGAGATTTAAAAAGGTATCAAACCTTGAATTGTTACTCAACAAACTACCAAAAAGATCATCATGTCAGCTAGTAACACACTAACAAATAACATTGTGTTAGCCCGTGGCACATCAACGAATAATATCGTGTCAGCCCCTGACATATCAAAAATACCACTTCCTTATTTGATTCACCTGCATGTATAAATATATCATCATGTGGTACATGTGTATCTATATAACATCACAATATCAACGATATGATATTCAATCATTCATACTATAATATTAAACACAATTATGTAACCCACATTTATCACAAACAACAGGTGTTAGAGTAGTGTTACTCACATGGTTAGTTGGCAGACATATCAACTTTAGTCTTGACCTACTCTGCTTTCCAGTTCGTCACATGCCAATACCTAACCAACAATTATTAAGTTCCTTAGAACCCGTCACAATTCACTATTCGCTATATTTCGTGATTATTTGTCACCAAACTCATTACACTCAATAATACACCCACAATAGGCTTAACCCGTAAGTCACTAACTAAATCTACCCCATCGGGCAACTTTAGTAAATTAGGGTTTACAACCCTTACAATCCTGACTATCTCACCATAAGATTTATTTACAAATCTTACTAACAGGTCCGTAATAACACCATATCAAGAACCCTCGTAAGATGTACTCGGGTCTAACAATTCCCGACAACTATCACATATAATAATTACACAATAACGAGGTAAAAGATACCTCCATGATCTCGTAACCCAGCCCCGTATCTCCCGTACATCAGTATAACTCCTCCGATATAAACTCCCAAGAACGATTCTCGACCAACATCTCCGGATGAATGTACCAAAATCCCCCAAATGACACAAAAACTCGCATATTTATAACCTGTATTGGTCATGTCGTGACCATATATGTGTCACGTCGTGATGACCAATTGAACCCCAGTTTTGTCACGTGTCGTACTCTACAACCACGTGTCTCGGTGACTCGTCATTTGTCACGCCGTGATGCTCAAAGATTGACCTTTGACTTGACTTTCTCGAAATAACAATCTACCTTCATCTCAACTTCAAGTAGTCGTAACTTTCTCATACAAATTTCGTATCAACAGACTTTATATCCACGGAATCCTCATCACACGAACTACAACATTCCTCAACTATATTTTGTTAAATATCATTTCTCAAATTAAAGCAACTCAGGGCTTTATCTCATCTGTTCATCGCACAACAGTCTATATCTTTTATGGTAGTGCATGTTTAGAAAATAGGTATTACATATACTTTGACATGTGCTCAGATTGAAGACTATGGAGATAGAGTAGAAGATAGCAAAGTTATTTTGAAGACCAGGACTTGTGTGCTAATCTTGAATTATGTTATAATAGTGAATTGTCGCAACCTATCTCTTTTTCACTATTAATTGTTGTTTTGGTATTTGGGATTGTATTTTCCGCACTAATGAACTTAAAAATCATTTGGAATTTAAAATTAAATGATTTCAAAAGTAATTTAAACTACCATAGCGACGAGTGTTTCATTCTTAAATAAACAAAGTAAAAAGTTTTCTTTTTCGTTGTTGATTTATTGTTAAAAATATTTTTTATGTGTTATGTGTAACAAGACAAAGAAAAAAAAAAGATAAATTTAATTCGTATTTTTCAGTATTATGCGGGTAAGAAGTGGTTGGCTCAAAACTAAATTTAATTATATAAATTACTTTCGAAGTTAAAGAAGTTAACCTATGTTTCATAGGTTGGGATAATATCATTTATGTGCTCAGATGAGAACCAAAATTTTAAAAATCTTCAATATTTAGGGACCGAAAATGTAATTTACTTTTCTTTATCTATTATTCTATTAAAGATTCTTAATGATATATTTTGTAGTTTTTTATACAGTTTTGTGACATAAGTATGAGGGTATCAACACCATGTATATGCCCGTATAACAGTCTAACAGACGATCGGAGGATATTGATACTAATTAATATGATATCAATATTTGTTCTGTTTCTACCCATATCTTTCTTTCTTCTTACACATATGTGACTAAATTTGTGATTTTTGTGAACTTGGTGATAGATCAAGGGCCTATTTGAGCATTCAATGTTGTGCGAGGGCTGTTGGGCAAAGAAACTTGATAAAGATTGCATAAGCGTTTCAAATTAGCTATGAGAAAGTTGACTACCTCATCCTCTGAGTAAGCTGGTTTTTGTAAGTTTGCTCTAGAGAAGTAATTTTTCTTGCAAATTTAGTTTTTATATTGAGGTTTCTTAAAGATTTTAGTCCATGTGTCGAATTCAAAGTACATTGCCTTAAATGGGTTAGAAATGCAAGAAACAACAATTTCTAAGAGGTCAATCTAGGTGGAGAGCGACACCTTCAAAGTGATGCAGTGCCACCCATACCAACCAATATCTAATAAGAGGTCGGAGTTGTTTTTCTTTTTTATCTGATTTTTGGTTTTCTGCACATCACTAAAACAAATAGCAACGTGCTTTTGTTTGTTGTCTGCATGGAACTTTCTTTAAGCTTCCATTACTTTCTTGCTCACTATAAAGTAGAATGCTATTTTATAAAATCAATTGCATTATATCTATAATAGCATCCTATTTTTAATCCTTACAAGTCATTGCTTCTCAGAGTTATTTAAAGATGTAATTATTCACAACTAATAATCAGAAATGACAAGGGCTACAAGTTGTAAGGCAACAGCTTAAGTTGTTCTTATATTGGCTCATCCTTTTGGAGCCTTGTTTGGTTGTACTAGAATAGCATCTTCTTTCTTTGTTTGAGATATAAATAGTGAATGTGTTCTCCTAACATTCTACTTGTGTTACTTATCCGGTTATATCAATCTACTTTTATTATTTTACCCATTATATCAATGCACTTATAACAATGTACTTATTTTACTTAACCGATTATAGCAATGCATTTCAACTGCTCTAAAACTTCATAGAAAATGAGTTTAAAACTTTTTGAGTGTCTCAATATAGCATCTAACTTCCAATTCTAATTGTTAACTTTTTTTTTTGTTTTGTTTTCTTTTTTAATTTAAGCATTATACTTTAAAAGTACAATGCTTTAATAAGAAAAAAAAACATTGAAATAAAATTTTAGAAAACTAAGAAATAGAAATGAAAGTATGATGCTATATTAGGCAAACAAATGGAAGTACATTGTTATATCTTGCATTTAGCCCCTGGTTGGGGTACATGCAAGAAATATCAATGTATTTTCATTTGTTTATCCAATTTTCATTTCTAATTCTTAATATTTTCTTTTCTTATTTAAGCATTGTACTTTGAAAGTACAATGGTTTAATAAACATTAAAATAACAGCTTTATAAAAAACAACCAAAAAATACTTTACACTTTATTTGATACAAATATCTAACAACTTGAACACAAGGACCCTATATTAAGACCGGTCACTGCTTTGATGCAACTGCTACCTTTAGCTTTTCCTCCAGTTCACCCTTCTGCAGAGGGACAAATTTGTAAAAAGTTACAACTTAATGAGAAAAAAAAAAAAAGCACCTCTATATAGCTTATTCTCTATTACAGGGTTGTTTCTTTTTTACTTAATGGGTTAAGCACTTAATCTAGACAGCAATACATGATTGCTTCTATTAGACTTAATCTGGACAGAAGGACTAAAGGGGTTAAGCAAAAAAAAAAAAAAAAAAACTGGTTTAATGTATTAATACACCACACCACCTATTTTTCCTTCTTTTTTTCCCTCACACGTTAAAATTGATGAATATAGTAAAAATTGTTTGGTGGAATGTAAGGGTAAAATGGTCATTTAGGTTCATTCTTTCATTGAGATAGTTTATTTAGTCCAGAGAAAAAAAAAAAAAAAAACAGACCTGTATGCAATCCATATAGAGTTACAAACATCATTACCCATACAGGACTGTGTGTGTGTGTGTGGTGGGGTGGAGAAACAGCCCCTAAGTATTGTCCCCATTAAGTCAATAAGAAATGGGAACAGTACCTAACTTTATCAATTGCTCAAAAGGCTAGCCCCAATAAAATAGGAACCTTGATGATGTGAGATGGGATGTAAGGGTAAAATGGTCATGTAGTTTCATTCAGATGGTTTATTGAGGAGAGATCACTTGCCTTATGCATGTCAAGGATAATATCCGACCCTCCAATGAATTCTCCATTGATGAATATTTGAGGAAACGTCGGCCAAGTGCTACGAAACAAGTAATATATCATGAATTTTGGTCATTTAAAGATTACTATGAGTTCAAAAATCAAAGAAAATAACAAACTATATATTAGCAAAATAAAATTTAAGAAAGTGTATATTACCTGAAAGCTTTTACAGCACTCTTAAGCTCAGAATCTTCCAATATGTTCCTGGAACTTATGGGAACCCCTACAAAAAGTCAAAAACAAATGCACATCTTTCAATCATTGCAGCCAAAAATAATAATAATAATAAAGCAAAATTGTCATGTGATTTGAGCACTTACTGTATTCTTGCAAGATTTTGACTGCTAGTGAGCTGAATCCACAAAGAGGGCGATTAGGATCACCTTTCATGTAAACCATCACAGGGTTGTTCTTCACATCCTACAAACCAGGTTCATGTTGTTCAACAACTTGACTCAATGAGAACTTTACCCATACAGTCACTTGCAACTACAGATTACCTGTTCAATGATGTCTTTCAGAGTGACTCCTGAATTCTCAAGCTTATTAGTTGGCTTAAAATCATCATGTGTATCAGGATCATTGGGTGCAGTTGTTGAGAATCCCATTCCATAATGGTACAACGATCCAGAAGCCTGAAAATTGAAAGAAATACGAATTTTAATCTTGTGTTGATTAGAAAAAGTTACATGGATATGGATACATGCTTTTGGTAAAAAGTTCAATGACTACTATATCATGTCGTACCATTGCTGTTGCACGAGAAGATTTGAACGATACAATCCCATTTAAGACCATCTTAGATAACGCCTTTGCCATCTTAAGAGACAAAATCGATGAATCTACAGGAAAAAAAAATCAAAATTATTTTCAACTACAGAGTTCAGAAATATGAGTAGATTGTCATAGTTCAGTCGAAGAAAACGGAACAGCTGAATAATCGTAAATCAGAATTTGAGAGATTCGTAAACCTTCACGAGAAAACAGAATAATAAAATCCACTCTCTATTTACCTGTCGTGCGAATATTTCTTAAAGCGAACATTTATGCTAGGAATAAATTCCTAAACTATAATAGGTATCAGAATACGAGAATTTTGTCCATGAACTCATAGCATCGAATAGTGATTGAACATTGAAGGAGAAATTGAACATGTATGCTTCAGCGTTAGAACAATATGTGCCAGGATTTCACTCGCCATGTTTATGTTGCAGTGATTTCAACAATAAGAAGATGAAAGAAGAGGGAAAAATGTTACCAACAAACGACGGAAAGGTTGTACAGCCAACTGATCCTGCTTTGCTTCTGCGTTCTTGGAATGTGGTAGATGTTTCCCTACTCCTTTTTTTTTTTTTTTTTTTTTTTTAAACGGAAAACGATTCAGCGGAAGCCTCTACCCAATATTTCAGAGTAGACCCCGCAAAGCTGGCAAACCCAGCCCCCCACACATGGGGCATAATTGCAAGAGGCGCACAACTTGTGCTTTACCGGGTTTGAAACCCCAACCTCAAACCCACATGGAGATGTAAACCCAATGCATCAACCGAACCGATCAGAAACCGATCCTATTGGATTCTGAAAACCAGAAACCGACCACTTATGAGTTAGGTTGGGTTTGAGTCCAAAACCGACCCATGGACAGCCCTAGCTTTAGGTCGAGTTTTTCAAAAGGAAATCACAAAAATGCCATTTTTTTTACTAAACGGTACAAATGGTCCTTGTGGTTTATCGAAAATTATCATTTTGGTCCAAAAAAATTTGGACTAGCACTCCAAAAGTTTGATTTTATTGCGAGTTTTGGTCCAATTACTTTGATTTTTTTTAAATGACAGATTTGTCATTTATTAATTTCATTTTCTATTTTTTTATTTTGTTATATTTCTGATTTAAATTAAACAAAAAAGAAAAAAAATGTGTTTTCAGTCCTCCCTCCGATAAACACCACCACCATTGATCACCCTCTCTCTCTCTCGTTGGAACACCTCCGGTCTGAACCCTCACCAACATGCTCTTTGTTTCCTCTCTGGTGATGGAAACAGATCTACAAATGAGGGTTTGCTCTGAGCTAGGTTTTACTGAGGAATAATTGAGTCGGAGGAGAAGACGAAGGGCGGCGAGAGGCGATAGGTTTGCTTCTGACGGTGGTATCCCACAAACCGGCTTCAAATCTGGATGGAAGAGGATCTGGGCGAAAGACGATCTGAAGCGTCGCCACCAGATCTGTCGATTCATGCTTTGTAAGGATGCATTTCAGATTCTCGGAGGTGGCTTCGTCTGGAAACCCTCAAGATCGACGATGTTCCAGATCTGTAAACGTTGTCGTCTTAACAACTCGACGATAGCTTCGTTTGGAAACTCGAGCCACAAACATTGCCTCCGTCTCTCGCTCCTTCTTCGGCGAGTCTCTTCTCTCTCAGATCTGATTACTAGTTAGGGTTTTAAGATCCGACAAGTTAGGGTTTCAGATCGGCGACACCCTTCTTTTTCACCGAAGGTGGGGCTGAAGGCGGTGACACCGACGACGAAGACGATGGTGGCGTCGTCAATGTTGTTGGTTTCCATCGGTGGCACCGGTGGTTTTAGTGAATAGTAGAGGGAGAGATTGAAGATTGAAAGGATGGGGGGTATACTTTAGGTTTTCTTTTTTCTTTTTTGTTTTGCGTTTAATTATGATAATGTAGAATTAATAAAAAAATGAAAAAATGAAAAAAGTAAGGACAAATCTGTTGTTTTAAAAAAAATTTAAAGCAAATTAGACCAAACTCGCAACAAAATCAAACTTGTTGACTACTAGTGTTAGTCCAAACTTTTTTGGACTAAAATGACAATTTTTGACAAACCCACAGGGACCATTTGTGCAATGTAGTCTTTTTTATGACATTTAATAGAGGTAAAACCGAGGTTTTGGTCCGGTTCCCGGTTCTTTATTTCCCACTAAATCGGTTTTCGGTTTTCAATTTTTGGTCTAAATCAGGACCGATGTTAGTCCCTTTTAGCGCGTTGCACTGAAATAACATTTTTGTAATTTTGTTACACACAACATATACAAAACACATGAGATCATTTCTTTAGTTTTGACCTAAGGGGTATTTTTATAATTTTGTACACAATTTCTATAATATATTTTTAATTTTCATAATTATACATAACATTAATTGTGAGGGGGCTTACGCACAGTAAACTTTTCCATTTCTAAAATTGGCCACAAAAATTTTTGCTTTTCGTATTTTCGACCCCTTTTTTTTGTTACACTTTGCCACATTATTTTCGTTTGTTTTAAGTCGGTTGCTCCCTCCACCGCCTCTCCCACCCAATCAAATGTTGCACCGCTATGGACATCAGTCATTATCTTTCTCCCTCGATTAAATCCATTTTTATTCCAAACCTCTTTCTTCTTGGCTGTGCCGCTTCGCTTCCGATTAGACCAAGGCGAGATCGTATAAAAACTTGAATTCTCGTTTCCTTTTATAATTTTTTTACTCACCTTCCAAAATCAACCCTCAATTTCGTTTTCCATGGCCTATGGATTCGTTGCATCTTGGTACCAACTGGCAACTGGGTTTACTTACCTTGTTCTTGCCCATGGTAGCCGCCAAATCCACACCACTTTATCCCAGCAGTTGATTAATCGAGTCAAGCTCCACTACTTCCATGTTCGTTCTGAGTTATCTATAGTAACTCTCTTAACCAATAGATGTGACATCCCCATTTTTACGGCCAGAAAAGGCCGATTTTTGTTTATGCTTTATAAAAATCAGAGTACATCTTTTAATGAAAATGTTGCGGAATTTGTTCCCAAAAAAACATGATAAATACGTTATCAAAGCATTTACGAAGAAATGTATTTTTATTCATTTTAAAACATTGGGATGTCATCGTCAATACAGAAATATAAGCATAAACAGATGTACTTAAAATGGTATTAATCGGTTCGGGTATCGATTTCATTTCAATCCAACTCCTTCATAAGCCTTTACAGCGTCGTTTGTCGACTTGAATTTTGGGATTAATCGGTTCGGGTATCGATTTCATTTCAAGATTCGTTATCGACTGATATCATGAATTTTGGTTTCCAGTTTCGCTATTTGGCTGGGTTTTTTGTTTCTCCGCTTGGTATACCTGATTCCAGCCAAAGGTTTTTGGTTCTGGTAGTCGGCTTCCCTTTTCATCAAAGATTCGTTGTTTGAAAGATGCAGAATTATGGATGAATTTGCTTCGCGATTCCTTAACCCCTATTTTCCGTCTACCTATTTAACATCAACAACGCATCATATGTTTGTTGGCATTCCTAGGTATGTATCTTTTTTTTTTTCAATTAGTTTTCTTTTATGACTATGTTAAGAAGCATTTTGGATGATGAATATATATAAAAATGTTCTAATGAAAAGGTCTTTGATATCTTAGTTGTTACTCCACATCCTTACATGATGGTTGATTTGACCCGCTGGCTTATGAGATTTGAAAGTAAGTTTTATTGTGTACACCAACTACTCTATCAAATGCTTGAACCAAGTTTTTGAATTTTTATTCGGACCTCTTTTTGACTATTCTTATTGGTAAAACATCTTTGATTTATCTTTTCTTATATTCCTAATTGGTCTAATGCCATCTTTCTATTTTTTTTTTTTACCTGAGGGTATTCTTCAAACTCTCACCTAATATTTATGTTAGAAATGTTTGTGGAAGAAAATGGATGTTTTTTGAACGTTGATTTGGGAGTTTTGGGATTGGATATTGAAACAATTCTCAGGAGAAATCGAAAGCATTGACATGGCATTTGCAATATCAGTTGCGGGGAGAAAAAAGAGGAAATCATGTAATACATTTTGTAAACACTTTTCTAGACATGATAAGGATGAATTTAAGGTCCTACCACCACCACCAATGATATATAGGAATGAGGTGGTAAGTATGTCTGAACCATCAGTTAAATTATAAGGATTGCTTCCTGCATAAAAGATATTGGTATAATTGGTCTTAAAAATCGACTACAATTTTGATTTTCAGCGGTTTTGTCACACATCTGGTGTTCTTGCTTTTGTAAGCACATTTAATATTCTTTTGAGCCAGAATTTTGATAATAATTTAATGTAATATTTAATTGTAGTTGAGGCTTGGTGATGTGAATCCTGATGAACTTGGATACGTTGAATCCATTTATGTTGAGGAAATTGGTGGTGCTAGGGTATGTATGAATCATATTTTTTTTTGCAAAAGACAAAAATGCCCCTGTCATAAAAAATAGCCTTTATTTTTTCATGTGAATGTTGTAAGAAACAAAGAAGGGAGATGCGAGCATTCATAGCCACGCAAGATTATCAATTGTCTTCTGGAGGATGTCACGACTGCCCGAGCCGAGGTTAGGGAGCTCACGGACAGGCATGCCGACATGGAGCAGAGGATGATCGAGACAGAGCGTCGAGCTGAGGAGGCCAATGAGGAAACAAGGGAGATGCGAGCATTCATAGCCACACTTCTAGGGCCGAAGGACGTCACTCGCCGTGAGTAGTGTTTATGTTACTCAACTTTTGTTATAGACTAGGTCTTTTGAGTAAGCGTTGGTGCTACTCCCTCATGTATGTAGGTCCGACCCTGCGGATAAGTGATTACACTATTCTAAGGGTCGTTATGTTGCCAATTTTATTTTGGGTTTCAGGTGTAATGTAGACCTCCATGAAGGTCAGATTTCTAAAACTATGTACTACTATGAAACATTATCAATGAAATGGTTTGCATTTTATTTCATTGGGTATTACTATTAAATTCATAAATTGTTATGCAATTGTTTACTCATTGTAGTAAAAAAAAGTTATTAAATGTTTACAAGTTACAATAAAGGCGAGACATAACAAACATATAACTGATACGTTCTATTTCGATAATACTCGACTTATAACTATTATCAAGGACTTACCATCATTCCATCTCTAATCCCTATGGCAGAAGAATGCCACCACACAGAAGTAACAGACGTGTCGGCGTAACACCAACAGTTCCACCAACACCAACTCCATATGTGGACCCTGCTACATTCCAAGCCGTTGTGGCAACCGCCATGGCACAATTTAGCACTAATGGCACAAGCGGAAACGGACACGGAAATAGAAACGGGAACGGTGCCAACAGTTCCAATCATGGTGAAAGCCAAGGACAACAATGAGTATGCTCCTACAAGGATTTCATGAGCTGCAAGCCCAAGACGTTTTATGGCGACGGTAGTGTCATCGCCTTAACGAGATCGTTTGAGAAAACCGAATTTGTGTTTGAAGTTTGTTCATGCCCGGTTGAATGTAAAGTCAGGTACGCAGCTTGCACTTTCGCTGACGCGGCCTTATCCTGGTGGAATGGCCATGTTAAAACCCTAAATCTCGATGTGGCCAACTCTATGAGTTGGGAAGATCTGAAGGTCATGATGCTGGAGGAGTACTGCCCGAGGGGCGAAATTCAGAAATTAGAACAAGAGCTTTGGAACCATACAATGATGGGGTCTGATGTGACCGCCTATACTACCAGGTTTAACGACTTGGCAGTTTTGTGCCCTAGGATGGTCACCCCGACAGAAAAGAAGGTGGAACGTTACATCTGGGGACTATCCCCCTAGATTCAAGGAATGGTTGTATCTGCTAACCCAACCACCTACGACAGTGCCAAACATTTGGCACAAAGTCTTGTCGACCACGGAGTCCGCCAGAGCATTATGACGCCCACACCGGATCAACCAAAGGGGAGAGATAACAAGCGAAAGTTTTGGAACAAGAAAAAGGGCCAACCAACTCAAAAGTCTGCCAAAAGACCACAAATTGTGGCAGTCCATGTCGTCACTGTCCCTACTGCCCCAGCGCCGACTAAACAATATGTTGGGAACCTGCCTAAATGCAACAAGTGCAACTTCCATCACAATGGAGCTTGTCGGGAGATGCACTGCAACAGTTGTAAACAGTAAGGGGCATACCGCCCGTTTCTGTAAGGCGCCAGCTCAACTGGCCACCCAAGTCACTAATGCCGGGGTGATTCAGGCGTGTTACGGATGTGGGGATACGGGGCATTTCAAAAGGGAGTGCCAAAAGGCAAAGAACAAGAATGTCGGAGGCGTGGGAAGAGTCTTGACAATGAGGCACGAGGAAGCGATTAAGGACCCCGTTGTGGTTACCGGTACGTTTCTCCTTAATAACTCATATGCATGCATACTTTTCAATAGCGGTGCGGAGAGGAGTTTCGTGAGCTACGAGTTT